AACACTCTCCATTCTCATGAAACTATATAACCAATGATATGAAAATTGAGACTTTACTATCAAAGTCCCTAGTTCTACCTATCCGATAGTTGTTGAGGGAAAATTTTACATTATTGCTGCATCAGTTAGGCAAAATTATCTCCCTAATAATTAAAAATAAGCAGAAAGAAAGTGTCATAAAGACAACTTTTTTCTATCAGAAAACCAGACACACACCAAATACTACTTTGGTAGCAACTATCTCTAAAGTCAAAAGTTCTAACCATACTCAAGCATGGTTAATGAGATGAATGAATACCTAAAATGTTTTAGCAACCACAAAACTGTAAGGGGTGAGTAAATAGTACTTTCCAGCTTAGATTTTTAAAACTCTAACAAGTTGACAGTTACAAAATTCTTAAATGGAAATGTTAAGGCAAAGATTCAGTGAATGAACTACTAAATTATGGATGCCAATCCTGTGTTTAGATTGTTTTAGGTTAATCACTAAATACAACAACATTAGCTACTGATAATGTTTTAAAAAATCCAAAAACTCTCTGAAGTATAACTCTTCCAACCTGTCAAACTGAGACCCAGATTACTAACCAATCTTCATTTTCAAAGTAAGTTACTTTTCATCCATTAGCAAGGCTCAAGGCAGCTGAGGAAAACTTGAGTGATAGAAAGAAATGACAGCACCTTAAGTATCCAAAGGAATAAACCTGAGTGATACCTCTATGCTCTTAGACAGGATAAGTATGTCTTTGAATATACTAAGCAATATTTTAACTCAAGTAAACATTTCCTTAGCATTAGACATTAGTCAAAAATTTGACTTTTTAAAAATAACTTGTGATATAAGTGATAATACACAAATGTATAACTAAAGAGCCTTTATTAGTAACTTAGTACAATCATTTAAAAGTATTGTCATTCATTTTAATGTTTTCCTTTTTGGAGATCAGAGGAGGATGCTTCTTCTTGGTTGTGCTTAGTCTTTCCATTCTGGTCTGTTGAGGCTACTCACAAGTGTCCTTTCTTCCTCTATCTCCAATAAGACTACACTAGCCACACCTGCCTCCCTTTGCTCAGCTTGTTCGACTTTGCCTCTTGTTCAAATTTGGTCTAACATGAAAATTGTCATCAAAGTGATCTTTCCAACATACAATGCTGAGCACTTCATTCCCATGATAAATAATTCTAAACATCGTGTATTAACTACAGAATAAAGTTAAAACTCTCCAGATTGATACGGAAAGGCCATTTACAACTGGTTCTCCCACCTCAATAGGAGTGAGTCTTAAGCTATTTTTTTTTTCTTTTTCGAGAAGTCAGTGAAATATATGAATATTCTTCTCCTCAAAAATGCAAATATTCAATAGGTAACTACTAGTTTTCTTCTGTTTCCCATAGATTTACAAACGTAATTCTCTTTCATCATCATTTTCTGACATCATTTGCTTTACTAACGCTATAGAAGCCTACATCACTATAAGCTCCTGGAGGGCACAAGCTTAATATTTATTTTTCTGTCTAGAAGCCTCAAAAAATGCCTATTATAGCAGTGTCCAATGTATATTTGTTAAATGTATAAATTATATCCATAACACATCATAATAAACAGAAAAGGAAGTATATTCTTATACAATGACGTATTTTGCTATTGACTTCTACTCTAGATGATCTGCTATGGAGGGGGAAAAAATAGAAAAATCAAAACTTTTTTTCAGTAAAATATATTCAGTCCTTCTGTTTAGAATATTGAAACAAAGAAGGAAAGAGAAGAATTAGAAGACTGGCAAGAAGAAGATGAAGTTGCTTAAGCAGTTGCAATCATAAATGGAAATGTATAATATAAATATAAAATCATTGATCCAATTTATACACCCATTATATATTGCAACTGTTCCCTTTAAGAAAATTCCAAAGATTTTGTAGTCAATTTAGTCTTTCCATTAGTGAATACCGAAGGCCTTTCATGTACCTCCCTTTGGAATGAAACTTATCTTAAGGAGTGTATGATATAATAACAGAGGCAAGCAAGAACGGAAACATGCCACCCCAGAGCAAGGGAGAGACTGTGGAAAAAACCAGATCAAATCCAAGCCCCACTATTCACAATTGCAGAAACTTAATGAGCCTATTTTAAGTTCTACAATATAATTTCCCTTATCTTTAAAATAGAAAAGGCAGTATTTCTGGGGGGTTGTAAAGATTAAATGAAAATGTTTATCCAAAGGGAACCTATAGATGCTGACAATGCCTGGCAACCTATAGGAGCTCAATGGTCAGTTGTTTTAATAGTGACTAAAAATGATGACTATCAGTAAAAATAACAATGCAATATAATAACTAACATGTGAATAAAGGAGAAGAAATGTGTTCAAGAATATAAACATAATTCACAGAAAGAAAGGATCAGCACAAACTACAACTATAAGGATCATGAAGGGACTAGATGACTATTAGAAGAAAGAAAGATTAAAAGGGCTGCCAAGAAGGAACATTATAAATAAATGTTTGGAAGCCTGAGAAGCTTGGGACATTTGGAGCCTCAAGCAGAATTCTCTGAACTGAAGTCAAAGTTTAGAAAAAAAAGTAAAGAAAGACAGACGGCCTATCCATGATGAAGGCCTTGAAAGTCAGGTGAAGAAATGGCCCCTGAGACTCTTGTCAGTCACAGACTTTACTGACAGATTTAATATCATCATATGCAAGAAAAATAATGGGCCATATTTATGTGTATACACAGTCATAAAAACTTTAAAAAGTAAAGTCTAGCAAAGGGATTCACATCCATTTAAAGCTATTTAGTAATCTTTCCCTTCCCAATTGTACTATAGTAGCTAGTTTATACTACTAAAATATATTTTTGAAGAGAGAAGATCATATAAAATAATTGCAACTTCCACACTTAGCCCTTTTCTTAACATTAATCAAAAAAATACCAAAAACACAGACTTATTACATTAATGACTAAAAAGAGTTCCAAAATAAGAAAATCAACATAATTTTAATAAATTATGATACACAGTAATCTGCAAATATAATGGCTGAAAAACATTTTATATACAATAAAGAAATAAATCCTTTTCCTTAAAAACTATTTGTGAAAATAAATAGAAAAAAAATCATCTAAATGCATCCAGTGTACTTAAAAAGAAAGCTTTCATTCAAACATTGACTCATAAGAAATATAAAGGCATACAAAATGAAAATACAATCCCCCAGCTTCTAAAAAGAACTAGCAACAGAAATAAAAAGAAGAAAACATCAAATATAAAAAGAAAAAATGTAGATAAATAAATGTATAAGATGTGATCAACAAACAGGAAAGACACTATGAAAAAATTATGTTTTTTACAGATACTGAGAATCTGGCTTTCAAGATGACTTTTAAAAAGTTAAAGTCACTGAAATATTATACTCCTATCTGTTCAATGAAGCTGAAAGGGGGAAAAATTAAGCTATAAAATCTATAGTAATTAATATTAAAGGTGAGGTATCTTAATACTTTACCCAGGACCAACATATTGATCAATTAAATTATTAAAATTTCCCTTCATCTCAGTTTGCTTCTCTCTACTAATCTGAAGTCTTTTACAAATTTTAAAAGGAAAATGAAAAGAAAAATTTAGTATTAAAGATGAATAAGTATTTAATTATGTCAAAAAAAACTCAAAATGACATTTTTAACTCGCTCCTGTATTGTACTGGAAATCAATCCCTATTTTAAAAATCTGACAAACAAAATTAATTACTAATTTTTCCTAAGTGTATTTTTATGTCTGAATTTATGTTAAACAATTTGAATATGAATATGCTCTACTGCAATATGGATGGTTAGTTTCCAGTCTTTAAAGAATGAGATCCTTACAATAATCAATAATTTTTAAGACTCTCTTATGTGAGACATGTTTACTGTGTACAGTACTATGAATACTACAGTGCTTTAAAAATATATACGTATTTCTAAAAAAAAAAAAATAGCATGTGAACTACAGACATATGTACTTGCCTAGAAACAGGAGCTGATCTGCCTATGTATTTAAGAATTTCTTCCAATAACTCAATAACCCTTTAAAGGTATAAGAGCCACTGGGAGGGAACCACAGAAGTCAGTTTAGAAAAGATATAACCCATTCATATTTGTTTAGAGCTTCATAGTCGGCAATAGTGTTTATATACCAATCCTGAAAGATAGGGAGAGTATAAGAATCCCCATTTTACAAATAAGAAAATCAAAGTCTAGGAGATTAAAGAAATGTGTTAAGGTTATACAGATTAGTAACAGAATTCCTATTAGACAGCAGGTCTTCCTGTTACTAATTCAGTGTTTTTATCTCTTACAACTTATTGACTTGGTCAAGAAAGAATAGTATAATAATTTATAAAATATCAGCCTAATATATTTTCATCAGCAATTCAAAGACAGAAACAAATATATTTTGACATATACCTTTTTGGACCATTTAAAAACTTGTATAATTCTACACAATAATTCTTTTTAGAGTGTTAGAACAAAAAATGAGGAAATTAGCTAAAATATGCTAAATAGATAAGCCTACCTTAGAACGGTGCTATGAATTAGGAAGAAAACACACTTCCAAATACTGCAATATTTTCAAGTTCCAGTTTTTTTAACTTTCACTTTGGTACCTGTCATTTCTAAGCTCATTAATAACCCCAATTGTCTGGTAAATTTCTTAATGATAGTAACAAGATCAAGTAAGTGTTTTAAAATACATTAATGCAATTTATTAATTAGTTAAAAGATAAGTATTCCATTTTTGGAACATTAATAAGCTGACAGCTAAAGATATGGAAAATATTAAAGAAATATTAAATTCAAGAAATTGGAGATGAAACATGTTTGAAAGCATATTACTTTAGATTTTTAAAAGACAGTCATGGTGCTTTTTTAAGGTGTGATATTAAAAATTGATGTCTCTTTTTTCTGTCTCATTCCAAAGAACCATAAAACAGCAAATTAAAATAGTGATGAACAAAATGCTTACAGGTTTGTATCTCAGTGCATCTCTGTAGGATCCAAACAAAGCAGCCTGTGCCCTGAGAAAGGCCCTAGCTACTCCATCACCCGTAGCTGTAGACTGCTTCTTCAGTTTATTTTTCAAGGCCGAGACCTGCATGACAGAGAGGAACAGTTAAATTAACACCTCAGAAATTGGTACAGCAAGGTACGAACCCAATCAGCCGGCAAACCACAGTGTCTGCAGGTCAGCCAAAAATTCATCCTCCTCCCTGATAGCTTATCTTTTTAACTGCAGAGAGCACCTGCTGGTCTGTTAATTGAAACGAAAGCAGGAGAGGATAGTAATGTGCTAATGCAAATTGGTTTAAGCTCTCTTTTTTTGCCCAAGGCCTCTTGACATAAATAAGCTTTAATTATTTTACAGTAAACTGCTTGTGAGCCACTTTTCTGCAGATTTTTAGCAATTACAACATGGATCTACTTGTTTTGAGATGAAGCTGGTTGGGTTCCGTTCATTTTTGCTATGTAATTTGTTCCGGGTCTTCTAGGATCATTTACCATTTAATTTTATTTTTAGAAGCCTCATTTGCATATGTAATTTTCCAGTCATTTGTGAACTAGTTTTTGTCATTATGAGGTAAAAAGAGGGAAGAGGGGATAAAGTTATTGAGGTCACACTATGTGTGGAGAATTTTATGCAAATGTTATATATACACTGTCTCATTTAATCTTCACAACAGTCTTACTAGAAAAGCAATCACGCTCCCATTTATGAATGAAGAAATAGAGGCACAAAAATGTGTATTAACTTTTCCTTTGTAGCTAGAAGTGGTAAAGCTGTGATTTAAACCCAGTTCTCTCCATTTTTTTCCACCATCGCATGTTGGGTTTGAGTTCAGTTTCATTGCTTATGAACCAGTAATCAGATCAAAAGACTAAAGTTTTTAAATCAAAGAAAAATTTATCTAGGAATCTGCATAATTTTAAAAGATATTTAAATTTGTTATAATTTTCATACATTTACTTTTTTCACTTCAAGTGCTATGCATCTTAGAAAATGCCTATTATTTATGAACATAACTTACTTAGATTTTTAAGGGAGATCATATTCCTGATACAAACCCTTTTATTTTTTAAGGGGAGGAGATATAACATGTCTGTGTATCCAATTCATTTCACCCATTCCTTTCACCCAAAATAGAAATTGATAGTCTGTACATTTGAAAATATTGATTCTCATATACATTCCTCATGCTTAAAGTGGAAACATGCAAAGTTGTGTAACAATTTTGTTTTATTAAGAAAGAAAAAAACTAATGAGACAAACTTTGGTTGGATTGCTCTCTTTTTTTTTTTTGAGTTGGAGTCTCACTCTGTCACCCAGACTGGAGTACAGTGGCCGCTCCCGGCCACCGCAGCCTCGCCTGCTGGGCTCTGGCGATCATTCCGCCTCAGCCTTCCAAGTAGCTGGAACTACAGGCGCGCACTACCATGCCCGGCTAATTTTTTGATTTATTCTAGAGATGAGGTCTCGCTGCCCAAGCGGTTCTCGAACCCGCAGGCTCAGGCAATCCACCCACCTCAGCCTCCCAAAGGCGTGGGATTACAGGCTGAGCCACCAAGCCCGGCTGGATTGCTCTCTTAACAAAGCATATTCTTATCTCTATGAAACTATCACATAACAAAATAATGTGATTCTCCTTTACATATACATATACATATACATATACATATACATATACATATACATACATAAGCAAGAAGAAACATTTTTATTTCTTTATGAAAGTAGTCCTGACTACTCTTGTAGATGATGATTGTAACTGAAGCATCAACCTAATTAACAACTAAACTTTGAATAATGTTAATGAGAAATGAACACAGCATCAGAGGAAAGACCAGCTCTACAGGTGATAAACCTTCACAGTAGTGACATTTTCCAGTGTAAAGTCACAGTTACTGTGATCTGATCAAAGAAACAGACCCCCATTGGGTCCAATTATAACCATAGTTTTGAAAAAATTATTGAGTTATGATGTTCATAATCTATGCAGAAAGGCCTTTGCAGTATAAGTCTTATCCTCATAGCTGTGATCTTTTCAATTTATATCCAAGCTCCATAGATTAAGATAAAAGTTTACAGCCTAATTCATTTAGCCCACAAAGTGCATAAACCAGGATTCATTTAAGAGGGAGTTTTTATTATTAAAATCAAACTTCAATAAATGCACATTTTTAGGCAACTGAAATGTTCAGACAATAATAAATACAAAAATAAATCTTCTGAGTTAATGTTCTTTATTCTAAAATTTCTAATGGTTTTTTTTTTTAAGTTTCAAATACCTTTTTTAAGACCAATGGGAATATCAATATATGGTTTTGGGGGGAGGTTTTGTGCACCCAAAAAAGGATTTTGTTGGAACAAACATGATTCCAGTCTTTTAAAATATTATAAAACTAAATGGTTGGTTTAAAAAAATTGCTTTAGAAAATTTTAAAAACAAAAATGTTCTTTGTTTATGCAAAAAGTTTCTCAAAGTATATTTTTAATAAACCATGAAATTGACGATTCAGTTCTCCAAAAGTCAAAAAAAACAGTTATTTTTAGAACAATCATAACATGTATGCTTACAGATAATATATACAAATAAAGTCATTTCTTAGCCTTTATTACACCAAGTCCTTGGCTGCATAATTGCTGCTTGAGTTACATAGGAGTATTAATCACACTGCCACAAACCCTTCTTAACCAAATCATAAATGTGTATCCTTCACATCCAAAATTAGTCAGTCATAGCTCCTGAACTCCCTGTAGCTGTGCAGAAAATAGGAAAGAAAAAGAAAATACTTGTTCTAGAAGTATGCTGTCCCATAGGGTTAGCCACACAAGCACTTGAAACGTGGCTAGACCAAATTTGATATAAGTATAAAACAGACATTGTATTGAGAAGACTTGATACAAAAAATTAAAATATCTCATTAATGTTTACATATATTATGTTCTGAAGCAATAATATTTTGAATATAGGGTTAAATAAAATGTCATTAAAATTAATTTTATCTATTTCTTTTAACTACTGTGGCTACTAGAAAACTTAAAATTGTATATGGGGCTCACATTATATATTTTTGGGGTGGTGCTATTCTTCATTAGATAGTATACTATCAAATTTCATACACATATGAGACTAACAATTGCCTTGTGAGAAATGTGGTTGCATTTTTTCTTTGCCTCTTTCTACCTTATTTCAAATTTTACAAATTATATATAAAGATTTCCTCGACCTACTCTAGTGAGCTTCAACTGTCAGTAGATCTGAGGTTGCTTCTGTGCTTCAGAGGCCAGAAGGGCAGCTAAATTGTTTCTATATGTGCAAATGAATGCTCAAGAGTAGTCTGTAAAAAATAAAATTGTTTTTAAAAGTCAGTTTTTGATATGGCGTTCCTAATCTTATATAAAATGATTGTGCCAACCTTGCTGTTTTCCTGGCCTTTACATCACTGGAGTAAATTATCACCAATTACCACTGCCCTTTGCAGTGCTAATTAGCTTTTAGCAGTTTTTATCTATAAAGCTGACAATGTCTCTTTTGCACTTTTTCAATACCTGGTCTAGGAAATGCATTTTCTGCTTTGATTTCCAAACTTCAGTCTAGTTATGAAATAAACATATGTCTTTACATAAAATCCTAAGGCTTATACTCACGTGTAAGTCTGATGCAGAAAAGCATTTGGAACTTTAGTCTTGCAACTATTATCAGTCTTATTAATACTGAAAAAGTGTCAGTTGTTTACTCTTTTATTCTTAAGAAAGCAAGTTAGCCTAAACCTCCAATGGCCAAAGATTACTTTAGAAATAACATTTTATTTTACTGTTTTAGATACTTTACACTCTGTAAGTAAAATTTTTAGAGTAATTAGGTATTAGTCTAAAATACATGAAGAAAAAAAGTTAAGCAGGGAACAGAAACTCCATAAATAGACATCATTTCATTGCTCTTATCAAATGTTTAAATGCCTTTCATACAATGAAAATTCAGGCCCCTTAGCAGCCATCCAAAAGAGGAATTATATCCTAGATTTTAGCACAGTGAAAGTTCACTGCAGAATGAATACTATTACCACTACTTTTCCACTTTTACCCTCTTAGCACTAAGGTCACTATGAATAAAAGGGGGGAATTACATGAGTAAACATCGCAAACATGTATAAGTTAAGAGAATGCAAACCATGTGCACAAAGACTGAGTAATGAAATAAAAATGCCAACAGAGAGTAAGTCAGGAAAAGGGAAAGTATATGAGAAGGCTGAGTTTTGGTCATTGTTTTGTAAACACTGGCCAGGCCATGTGCTCTTTGAGTTATGGTCACCATGTTTTCTTAGCTTTGGTCCCCTCCCCTATCTTGGCAAGGAAGTGAATCTTTCTCTCTCTCTCTCTAATTTACTTTCTAAATAAAACTTGTATGCGTATTTTCTAACTTACTTGCTATATTTTTCAATCTTAAAAAAAAAAGGAGACTGAGTTTTTCAGAGAAGTGACAGACTTTTACTTGACTTCTAGATGCGTCTTTGCAGTAAAAATAAATTACCTACTATTCCTAGAAATTTTAATTTTACTTTTTTATGATAACAAATAGACCAGGGTAGAGGACAGAAAATAAAAATAAGTGTTTAAAAAAATATGTAGATAAACTACACAACCTAAAATACCCCTGTGATGTGTTTAAATATTTCCTTTTATGTAACTAAACAGTTCTGTAGAAATGACATCCACTATAAAAGTTAAAATGTCAAATAATCAACAGCTTTAGAACAAAGTTATAAAGTTAAAACCTTTATTCTTCCATAAAACATGTGATAGCTATCATATGAATTTAGATATTAAATTCCTACATTTCTTTAACCTTTCTAAGATTCAGTTTTTTAAGAAACAAAATTAACACTTCCCTCCTAATATAAAAAAAAATTCTAACAGTCCTTTATTTGAGGATTAAAACAGTAAAAGAAAAAGCATATGATATACTTACCTACAGAAGGTCTCATTACATTTTTTGGGGTTTACTTAAAAGTACCTATAAAACGCTAAAACATGTAACATCATCTACAACTCTTTTCCTTTTAGAGGCATCCTAAAATTAAGACAACCAAAAC